GCAAGCACCTACATAAGGTACAGTGCCACATTACGTGGCTCACTCAGCAGTCGGACGACAAAGCGGACGGACTCAAACAGCAGCAAGCACCGCAGCAAGCACCTACATAAGGTGCAGTGCCACATTCCGTGGCTCACTCAGCAGTCGGACGACAAAGCGGACGGACTCAAACAGCAGCAAGCACCGCAGCAAGCACCTACATAAGGTACAGTGCCACATTACGTGGCTCACTCAGCAGTCGGACGACAAAGCGGACGGACTCAAACAGCAGCAAGCACCTACATAAGGTACAGTGCCACATTACGTGGCTCACTCAGCAGTCGGACGACAAAGCGGACGGACGCAAACAGCAGCAAGCATCGCAGCAGCAAGCACAGCAGCAGCCACCTACATAAGGTGCAGTGCCACATTCCGTGGCTCACTCAGCAGTCGGACGACAAAGCGGACGGACGCAAACAGCAGCAAGCACCGCAGCAAGCACAGCAGCAGCCACCTACATAAGGTACAGTGCCACATTACGTGGCTCACTGAGCAGTCAGACGACAAAGCGGACGGACGCAAACAGCAGCAAGCACAGCAGTAGCAGGCACCGCAGCAGCGAGCGAGACCTGATCATGGATCATCATATGTTCGTTAGGGCACCTGGCGAACAGACCACCGGAAATCACGACAGTACAGTACAACCGAAGTACATAGAATTTCGAATGTTGAGACTTTAGCACAAATGTCCAACAAAATAATTAATAATTTCAGGCAAAAATCGTTGCAATCCTCAATTGCAACGATTAATTCCCTTTATACTTAGATAAGATTTAGTTTTAGTTTTTAGTTTTAAGATATCAATTGTTATACTGACATGCAGGTTAAAAAACCTGTTTAAAATACTGAATTGCCAAGACATGAACAATGTAAAAACACTTAGATATATATCATAACAATTAAGGCTGGTACGTTACTGCAGTAACTGGAGCATCTAGGTTAAAATGAAATGTAATTTATTTTGAATTTGGAACAAATAAAGAGTTAAAAAAAAAAAAAAAAGTGTTTTCAACTTTCTTTATAACAAACCTCCGAATACCTCATAAGAAACTGTAAATCACTGCGTGAAGAGACAGTCCGGCTCAATGGCGCCGCCAATGTTTACGTCAATCTGGAAAGTTCAGAATCTCTTCAAGATTTTTATAAATTCAACTAAGATTGATTTTGTATACGACAAGTGTTATAGTGGTATTAAAACAGTAAGATGCACTTTTAAATAACATTTAAAGATAAAAGCAAAAGAAAACTATTTTGGAACATGTTGAATCTAGGAAGTATGAAGAAAACATCTATGAACCTCATATATAACGTGGGATGTTTTCTGCATCACTTATAATACATTTATATAACAAGCCGTTCTAATTATTTTTCAAAAAGATGTTTTATGTGTTACTTGGGATGGCATTTACATAGGGGAATTTACGTATTCTCGGCAACCTAAGCAGCGACCTTCTTTCTATAGCCTTTTTCTCTATGGAACGCACACATATGTAGTATTGGTTTGTTTACAATCTTTTGCTGCCAGCTGCTCTAACAATTTCAGTCGAAAGAATTGTCAAAAACTGTTTTGAAACGCATTTACAAAGCTCCAATCTTCTCTAGTGAGAGCGAGTATTGTCGGCAACAAGTTTTTCTTCGGCAACCGTTCCATTTGAACTGCATGTAAATCTGCTGTTCTATTATCAGCAACTCGAAATCAGCTACAATTTGTAGTGCGTGTGTTTCATTTCAAGAAAACCCTGCTAGATTGCTTTTTCTCAGTGGTAAAAATATAGTCAAATTGAAGCTGAAAGCATAAAGAATCGTTTGCATGCATTCAGCGAACTGTTTTCGTAAGAAAATCCAGTGAAAATAGTGTTTCAATTTGGGTTGCCGAAAATAGTCTGTCATGCCGAAGCCGTCATTTCCCCTAGATTGACCTTTTCTGAACGATTAAAAGAATCCTGATGAATGTGGGCGTCTTAGTGGAATACCTGTATAAAGAGAGAGAGAAAGAAAGATTAGTAATTTCCATTTAATTCCACTACCTTATTTGGTTATCCTTGACAGATACGCGTATTTCGTCTACAATGTGCAGACTTCTTCAGTGTCTTGTCTTGTCGAGTCGAGTATTAGTACACACTTAGAAATTATCGCCGATTTCGGTAATTTTTACCGAAATCTGAACAGCTGAACTGTTCGGTAAAATTTATGCAATTCAATTCAATAGCTTTTCAGCTACTTTGAAACTAAATCTCCACTAAAATGACAAGATTTGATCATTTGAACAAGGTTGAACATGTTTTCAAATTATTTTCAAATTCATAAGCCTTTAAAATGAAGGTCAAAGTTTTACCGAACGTTCAGCTGTTCTGATTTCGGTAAAATTTACCGAACACGGAAACAAAATCTTAGTGTGCACAACACACTGAAGAAGCCTGCACATTGTAGACGAAATACGCGTATCTGTTAGGGATAAGCAAATAAGTTAGTGGAATTAAAATGAAATTACTAATTTTTCTCTCTCTCTTTATACGATTAAAGGAGTAAAGTATTACAAAATGCTGTTGATTTCGAGACGCCTATAATAAATAGAATTGGCTGCTGCAGAATAGAGACAGATTATCCACAATAGTCACACTCACCTGAGAAGTTTAGAGGGTTATAAAAACGTTTAACAATAGTTTTTGACAATTTCATCGATTGGAATAGATAGTGCAACTAGCAGGCAGAAAACGTAAACAATAAAACCTTATATATGTGAGCGCTACGCAGAAATAAAGCCCACAGAAGTGCGGCCGCTGCTAAGATTGACGAGAAATAGTTTTTTAAGGTGATTCCTTGTAGAGTTCAAAGATGGCCGTCGTGATGGCTGATATGCCCTATCACTTCAAGATTTATAGAGCATAAATTTCGGACGATGGTGCGATATTACTCATGAAATTTGAACTCCTTGCTGTACTGCAGTAGTTTCAGTTTCCTTGTTGTATTTTTTGTGAGAACTGATATTTGTGTTCTTGAAATTTCGAGGTAAAAAAGTGAGATTATACATTTTACCGTTATACATTTTACCGGAGGCATCGTGACCAGAGTGGTCACGATGCCTCCGGTAAAATGTATAACGGCAAATTGACAATGTTTGAAAAATAATTGATCAGCAATTTATCGATAACTTTCAATTTAAACTATGTAGTTTCAAATGGAATGAATAGATTTGAAATTCGCCAGTAAATGACTGAGCTTTGATTTGTCAAACATTGCAAGTTTGCCGTTACACATTTTACTGAAGGCATGGTGTTCAGAGTGTTAATCAGAAATAATGATTCACATTAAGTAGAAGCTAACTGGCCTTTTTATTCCGTGCAAGGTTGGTTTCCGAATAGGTGAGCTCACTCTTCATCAATGTTTGTTTTTACCGTACATTGAATTCATTTAATTGTGAATGTGTAACATTAATCACAAAATGTTTACGAGCTTTCCAAAACGTTTTCGATTAATTTGTGTTTTTTTTTCCGTGTCGTGGACATTTACCACTGCGACCAGTGTTTTGATCTATTGTGGTGTATCCTCTTTTTACTATTTGCCGTGTGTTTTGATGATCAACCACTATGTAGAGTGATCTTCATCATTGATCATCGGCATTATCCCAATATGGAATTGCACTTCGAATGAAGTTTACAACTTTATTGGGTATACTGGTCCAAATTTCTTCAGGTACGGTGAGTCCTTTATCAAGAAATCTGCATCGTTTATTAAATAAAGCAATGCAATTACACAATAAATGTTCAGAGCTTTCGCTCTCCAAATAACAAAAGCGACATCTATCGTCGCTAAGCTTTCCAATTTTTTTAAAATGATATTTACTAGGCCAATGTCCTGTTATTAATCCAGTGTAGGTGCTTAAATCTTTTTTGGAAAGATTGAGTAACCTTTGCGTACTCAAAACGTTGGGCTTAATGAATTGTTTAGATTGCCGGGCTGTTGAGGTATTATTCCAATTGGATTGTACCTTGCTTTTTTCCCAGTTCTTTAATTCCATTTTCAGATTAGAAGGCGATAGACCAATAAATGGTTCGGGACCAATAAATTTCTGGGATGAGCCAAGCTTTGCTAATTGATCAGCTTTTTCATTTCCTTCAATGCCGCAATGACCAGGAACCCAATATAGATTTACCTTGTTACGACTGGACAATTTCTGAAGTTGATTATAGCATTCCCACACTAACTTTAAAGTGTAGATCATTGATTTAAGGGCATTCAATGCTGCTTGACTGTCCGAAAAAATGCATATGTTTGCATTCCTATAATTTCTTTTTAAACATATTTCTACACATTCTAGAATCGCAAATATTTCTGCTTGGAATACTGTTGGCCATTTACCCATTGCTACAGAACAGTTAATTCCGGGACCTGTTATTCCTGCCCCTACCCTGTTATCCTGTTTTGAGCCATCCGTGTAGAATGTTATAGACCCAGGACGAATCAACGGCCCTCCAGTCTCCCAATCATTGCGTGTTGTATTAAACACATTAAATGGTTGAATTCATGAGTTTTTGCCATAAAATCTTCATTCTTTAAAATTAGTGGACTTAATTGAATCTCTTTCAAGATGCTCATATGATTTTTAAGATCTCCTTCAAAGAGCTCTTTTGTTCGTCTGAGTCTGAGAGCATTCTTCATTGCAATTAATTTGTGTTAGTTTGATTGAATCTGCTTAATTTCAAACCAACACAATAAAGATCAAACATGGTTTGAGAGCGAGTATAGGTTCCAGTCGGAACGTCATGATCCAAGAAGAAAAATTCAATCCAAATTGGGGAAGGTGTGGACATTTAACTGTCGATTTGGGTTGAAATCCATCTATGGGAGGCAAGCATGAAATATTCACCACGAACCAAATCGTAACCGCATAAACAGGGGAAATATTGTACTTTCTATTTAGCCTTTTCCACTAACAATCAATTTCCCATTTCCATTTTCAGGGTCCGAAATTGGGCCATCCGGTTCGGCGTGGATCTATGGGAGTTTGGACGGCAGTTTACCAAAGTGAACGATATCAGAAACGTAAGTATATTATTAGATTTATTGTCAGCCTATCACCTTCGAAAGAGAAGTTAGTTTTGTGTTCCCTATTCGTGGAGCCCACAGAATTGGGAAGAAATGGTGGGTTCTGATAATTTAAAATTAATCATTCTATTGTATCATCAACGGGCAGGAGAAGAAAGCAATTTTTTACGAACCATATTTATACAATAGACTGGAAAACGAGCCTGTTGCGAGTGGCAGGGGTCTACAAGGACAGAAAATCTAATTTACCTATATACAGCTTCGACCAATGGCATTATCCTTGAATGTTCTCTACTCTCGACTTTGTAGTTTTTTTTTATGTGTGTGTGTTGGAGAGGTAAGGGTACGATTATTTAAACAGGACATCCCGTTTTCAAGGGTTTTGTTGAATGACTTCAACCCGTTCAACGGACGACGTCGAGTGCCTGTTTGGATATACACATGTTCATGTATGTAGCCGAGGAGGCCGTACGCTTCCGTAACAATTTCATCCTTCCCAAATGGTTGGAGTGCTGTGGTTTGCTCTTTGCTCGATTGAGGAACGTTTTGGTTAAATTCACCTGGGAGATATTTTTGGTCCCATACATGTAGGTAGGTTTGTGACTCAAATACCATGCTTCTTCTAGCTTTACGAGCCCGGTCTGACTCAGTGTAATCCAGTTGTGGCTTTGGGGGAAGAGGAGGACAAGTAGGGATAAAAAGGAAAACTTTTTCCCGCACCAACACGAAGGATAACTTGCTCCACTGAAATCATTTTCGGAGGTGGGAAATTGCCTACCACTCACATCACCATGTACCGCTAGCAAATGATGGGAAAGGATTTTCACGGCAAGGAAGAATCGATTTTACGTCTTACAGAGTTAGCAGTAGTCCTAGTCCTCTGTCATTATGGGAAAACGGTGTTGGCCTCGACATAATTCTCTCACACACGGTGCTAGAGGAGGAACAATGCAAGTCAGGGAATCGGATTGTGGGAATTCGGAGGCAATCGCTTTAGATAGCTCTATTGTGGGAGGAGTTGGCTAAAGGCATTCTGAATATGTTTGTAAGAGTCGATTTCATTTCAGGTTGGTTTAACGATCGGTGAATTTTGTATTCGCTTCAAGATCCGTACAGAGACATACATAAGGAGGCGCTTGGGCAGTGATTGATTATAGCTACCTACAAGAAGTGGAAGACCAGAAAACTTCTATAGGACATACTCGTAGAAGTGTCATAAGGGACCACTCAATAATTACGTAAGCACTTCGGGAGGAGGGGGTATTTGAAATGCTCTTATGTTATCTTACATGGAAGGGAGAGGCTCTCAGAAATATCTAACATAAGGATGAACAGGTCATATTTTTCTTTATTTTTCTTTGGTTTGTTTTCCGTCGATCTTGTTTTCCGTGCTGAGCACCAATGCTACCGACGCCAGGGAGGCAGCTCCCACACCTGGACCCTACCTATCGACCCATCAACCCATCAACTCATGAACCGGGGACCAACGGCTTTACTTCCCTTCCGAAGGAAGGCGTGATCAGAGATGTTATGCCTCAGAACATCCCGGCGACGCCGACTGGGATTGAACCCAGGCCTGCTGAGGTGAGAGGTAATCACGCTTACCACTACACCACCGGCGCCGCTGGAGTCATATTCAAACCATAAACATTTTCGATGTAAGCTCTTACAAGGAGGAGAGTGAGTTTTATTAAATATTAGTCTTTTAATGGAGAGATCTTAAAATCTCTAAAAAGTGCTTACGTAATTATTACTATTATTTAATTAGCCGAACGTGCAAATCTCAACGGGATTTATTTCAACCTCAAATGGAGTACACGCACTTTTACTCAGTTTCAACTTAGTAGTTCAAATCCAGATATTTCTTGAATGATTTCCAAAAGACCTACGGGTTTTGAGTTCAGATTTCATAGAGGTCTAATAAAATCTAAACTCAACCCGTTAGTTCTTTGGAAACGATTCAAGAAATATTTGGAGCTTTAGGATTAAATTTTGAGTTACATTTGATGGCCTTGCGGTGTAAAAAGTTCATGCTTTAATTACAGAAACCATTTGAGTCAAAACTACAAATACCTTACCTAAGGTGGTGGTTATGAGTCATATGGTGGCTTTAAAGATTGACTTTGTTGACCTTACGCGTTTGCTCCAAGGGAATTATGTGCTACCTTTAGTAGCTTTATGGCCCAACTCTAGAAACCTTGTTGATCTCCAACTCCAAATGTTTAAATTCTGTCACTTGGGATCCCAGAGACGAACCAGCCAATGCCTGAAAGTCTCTTTAATAAAGTAACCTAACCTAACCTAACCTTGTTGATCTCCCCATTAATTCGCCACCATCAGTCCTTGTCCTTGCCAGAGGTCTTCCTCTGCTGTAATGATTTTCTGGTTTGTTTTTGAATGTCTGTTGATATCGGACTCTGATGATATCGACTATGGAGCTAAGCATTTGAGATCCAGTTGAGAGGCCTTCAGGCACTAATTATATACCACAGGAATTAGTTGATGAAGGCCGTGTCCGAAGGGGCGGATTGATCAACTTTCAGATTTTTCTTCACAAATTGTTAGGTAAGGTGCTTTCATTTCCAAATCGGATATTTAAAAATATTTTGTATTATGGGTCACTAGATGGTGACTAGCTGGCCCATACTACTTGGGTTAGTGTACAGGGTGATTCGGAATAACTGTCACCAAGTTCACATGTTTGTAATGCTCAATGTGTAAAATAAATATATGTCCAAGTATTTTTGTTTTACAGCTTGTATTGACAGTTAGTTTAGAAATTGCATTCGTTTCCATTTTCCATGGAGCCATGGACGTGGAAATTTAGGATTTTATACATCTGTTTACATTCGTGTCTCTTCGAGTGAGTGAAACATATTCATTATAGAGGTACAAAGGAACCATGTTTGGAATATCCGTTCAATATCAGAGCTTAAACGCATCGCTCCTGAAGTACATGCGTGCCAGCTGTGATTGATTTTCTTGACAAATGTGGGTTTTAATTAAGGTGAGTGAGATAGATTTGAATTAAAATATGGTAAGATGAAGGTTACATATGTATTATATCTTAAATATACTGATATCAAACATTCATGCAAGCGTTAAATCAATATGACCTTTCTTTTTAAGTGACAGTTACTCCGAACCACCATGTAGATTAAGTCGTCATTTAGGACTCGGCGGGCACCATATCTCGCTGGCGTATAAAATCATAAAGGCAATCCTGAGAGCTTATTACGCTTAGATGATGTCTGATGCTCGCTGGGCACTTGAAATCAACCTAAGAGATGAACTAGCCTATGGCTAAAAAACTCTTTAAAAAAAAAAAAAAAAAGAAACTTGAAATCAACCAGCAAAAGCTTTGGAGCTACATGGCTTAAGGACGTACTCTACACAACCCTCCAGAAGCTAGGCATTTAAACCATCATCCTCTGCTCAGTAAGCGAAAATGGGTTACACTAGGCCACCGAGCCCCTTATTATTTATACAGTAGTGCCTCGATTTTGCCAGCCTCCATTTTGAAAATCTTTTCTGATGTTAAGCGAAATCTATGCGCTTTTCCAGTCGCTTTATTGCATCAAAATATACCTTAAATATCCATCTTGAAGATGAATGGGAAAGATTTGGAATTACGGTTATGTGGATCTAATGAAAGATAGAAGTCTGATGACCCTGTAAAACAATTCTAGTCGACTTTCCGATCGAATTGTTGTTATTATCGTCCAATCTCAGCAGTGGCTTCAACGACGACGACAATGACTGTTACGCGAAATCAAACATCAACAGGAAAACAACTGCAGGGAAGCCATTGTGGATGAATGATCTCCCTGGAAGGATTCCATCATGATTTCCAACCAGCACACTTTCCATTGTACCTACCGCGAATGACACTTGTTTCACTTATATCAGAAAAAAAAACACGACTAACGACTTGTTTTTGAGTCATGATTAAGCATACAGTAGTGCTCAAAAGTCATTTGACAAAAGATTGATCAGATTTTTTTTTTCTGTTCATGTATTTTGATTTTGGTTTTTTCCTACCTTTAAAAGATGAGTGTTTCCCAAGTAACATAGCAAGTTTTATCGAGGTTTTAAAGCATTCTACAAGTTCAAAACATGGTCTATATAACCCTTGCAAAACTAATTTGACTTTTGACGATTAATATATTGTTTCTTTTAGTTTTTATGATAAACTTAGAAAAACTTATTTTATACGTCACAAACTGACAAAACTGTAATTCGTGAAGTTCTATAGGTTCTTGATATTTTCAAATGCTGTAAACTTCCACAAATGCTTAAATTTTGGAAAAAAAAGCCATAAGCCAGTTCATTTAGCAGAAATTATATAATATACCTTCAAGGTATAAGTTTAATAAGTTGAATTAATAGGTTTCCAATTTACCACGCCATTCAGCTAAAATAGTGATCAGAAACTCCGCTGCTTTGGCGGAATTTGTTGTTTAATGTATGTTTACAACACTCTCAATTGAAATCAATAAATTTAACTCGTTTCACTTATCTGTATTATCCAACTTTTAATTTAATAATATGATTAAATTTAAATACAATTTAATGTAAATGAAAAATAAAATACCATATTTTGCGCTAATTTCTGGTCGAGTTTCGAACGCCTTTGGATACGGTTGTGTCTAAATTTGCTCTCTCTTTTGTGCGTGCATTCTCTTTCATAGTTTTCGGCTGCATTTGCCGGATTAGCACTGGCACTCTGCCTCCCGGACGGTTATACGTGTGTGAGTGGTGGTTTTCTCGCTAGCCGAGAAGTTTTAGAACCAAGAAAGAAAACACGATTCATCATGTTGCAAAATTGCAAGCATCAGAAGATTTGGCGCTGCGTGGTTTGATTGTTTCTCCCGGACAAAAAAATTGTGGCATCGCGAGTGAAAATTTTAATTTCTGTTTATTTACGCGGTGATGAGAACGGCGCTGATCTATTGTTAGGGTTTTGCGATGTGCATTGCTTTTGTGCACGGAGTGTC